ACTCACCCAAAACCCCCACCCAATTTTTTATTATTATTATTATTTTTTTGCTTGAGCGGGTGGGGCTGGGGTTGCGCTGCCCCATGGCGCTTCCCGAATCCCAACCCCCCTCTCCACTGGCCGCCACGCGTCCGTGAAGTCGTGCGGCCGTCCGGACGCATCCACGGGGTCGCGCACTCGACCGCACTTGTCCGCCGCCGAGGGGGATTCGCGGCCCATGGGAGCCGAGGTTGCGTAGACAGGCTATCTACGTTCGACAGGTCATCCGGTGCGCCGATTTCTGGCGCAATGTTCAGCACGTTGTCGCTGTCATGACCCCGGTCCACCAGCTATTGAGGAGATTGGACAGGGCCAGCATGATCATGTCCATGATGTACTCAAGGTCGCAGGAGTTGGTGCGGCAAGTGGTTGCTGCTAACGCCCCTGCTGACATGCGAGAGCCGTGTGTGGAGGCGGTGCAGATCCGCACCATGCATATGCTTGAGCCTGCGCACGCTGCGGCGCACCTGCTCAACCCCCGCAGACGTTCTCTCCATTACTACGAGACTCAGTCCGTCCGCAGGACAACTGCAGACCTCGAGGTGGTCACCTAGTGCGACTCATTTCTATTAGCGCAGACAGGCGGTGATCCGGCGGGGGAGACAAACTTGCGGCCGTTCCACGCTCGGATCAGACCCACCACCAACAGGGTGACGAGGGACGCCGAGGCGGAGGCCTGTATCGGGGATGATGAGACGAGTTGGTGCACGTCCTGGTGGGAGGAGCATGACACATGCTTCCCGGACTTGCAGGAGATCACTAGCCGTGTAATGCATATGTGGACGTCCGCCTCTCCTGCTGAGAGGAATTGGGCAGAGCGTGAGCGCATCCACACGGCCAAGCGGAACAAGCTCGGGTTCAGGAAGGTCGCGCAGTTAGTTGAGATTGCTACAAATCTCAAACTACTTGGATGCAGCGAGCGGAGTGGAGGGTACGTTCTTCCGTGGGGTCACATGGCAACCTTGGTGGAGACACAGCCAGAGGAGTATACACACCCACTGTTCGACGACGAGGATGAGGAGGAGGAGCCTGAGCTAGAGGAGTGTGGAGCCAGAGGAGTGTGGAGCCAGAGCTCAGTCAGCAGTGTCGGCACATGAGATCAGTGCACAACTTTGTTGCTTCCAGCAGCAGGGTGCTCGTCGCCCAGCGGGAGTTCATGAGGTTTTTGGTGCCAGAGCCGAGATACTGCTTCCTTACGACTACATGCCTCCACCGCGAGCAGAGCCGGTGCAGGCGTCGGAGGACCAGACGGGTGCGGAGGGCGGAGAGGATTTGCCGGTTGGTGTAGACAAGAGTGTCGAGAGACTCTACTACACGTATGGGGGAGGACCGGACGGATTTCAGCCACGCTGCACCGTCATTCGGGAGAGCGACGACGATTCCATCCCCGCTACGGATACGGGGTTGGACCGTAAAGATGCTTTAGGCGGGGCAAATGGTGTACTCCCTAGTAGAGAGAGAGAGGAAGGTGACCGGGGTGGTCAGCACCGCAAACGACGACGACGACGAGCTATTGGTGATTCGCAGAGCACGTTTGGCGCGCGAGGGAGCCGCGCTTGCCGCCGAGGGTCTTAGGAGAAAAGTGAGGCTGCAGGTGCAGGCCAGGTAGCATACAGGTGCTAGACGCAACGTGTCAGACCATGTAGATAGACGACATCAGAGCAGAGGCGCATTTGGCGAGCCAGCACACACCCACCTCAGCACCTCGAGGCGACAGGGAGCAGAGTGAGCTGCGCACGAGTGACTTTCATGGCCTTGGACACAGATTTTCAGGCAGCGGTGTTCGAGGACGGTCTGACGGGCGAGAGAGAGTGGGGGATGACATCGAGTATCATCCTATCGAGGGTGGTGGAGCGGAGTCCACGAAGGAGCTGCATGCCCGGATGGATCGAGAGGAGCAGCGGCTGGAGCAGTTGCAGAGAGAGTGGGCGGGTAGAGATGTGTACATGGCGGAGCAAAAGAGTATTCGGGACTTGGAGACCGGTACTGCAGTCCCTGATGCGGCCGGGGTCGAGCATCACGTTCCTACAGTCCCGCATCCATTTGCAGCCGACGCAGCGACACCTGACACTCAATGGGAGGAAACGGTGGTGAGTCTAAGTATGGAGATCCGGTCATGTCCAATGTCATACTTGGACTGTGTGCAGGGGGCACGTTGCAACCTGATCCTCCAGTCACTCAGGAGGCAGTTCACATGGAGGGCGATTCAAACGAGTTGGATGGAGGTCGTAGACGCGATGCGAAGGGCGATGATGAGGCGAGTGATGATCCGATCGAGGTCGGAGGCAGTATGTCGTTGGCATTAGTGTTGCGGTGTCGTACCAAATACCCTTACAAGGGTATTTGGCGTGGTTTTGCAAGTCGCGCAAGTGCAGTGTTGCCCGCCTGACGGCATGCGCGTGAGCGGGGGCATAGGTTCTTGCCAGGGTGAGAGACGCGCGCAGGGGTATTGACGGTGAGGCGCAACTGTGCGCTGCCTAGGCGTGCGAGGCGTCATGGGCCAGCGGGACGTGTGGCGTCTATTTATATTTTTATTTATTTAATTATTTGTTTTTTTTCTAAATGACTTTGCCTCGGCGATGAGTTTCGGGCCCGGCGCCGA